AAATTCATTTCAAAACAAGACGACTTTCGAAAAAAAAACAAAAACTAGAGTTTAGAACTTTTTTGTCGACGTATTTTTTCAACTAAACGACCCTTCGATGTTCAATTCTCAGTAGCAGACCTCTGCAAGATTCAATTAATCACATGATAATCCATTTTAATTTTAACCTTCTTATGCAACATTTTGACTGTTGAATAGACGATCGGTAGACCTTTCAATCGAGGTATCACATGACCCCTATTTGTATTTGAAAAAATCGTCCATTACGTCTTTACTCCAACACCGGTGACGTAACATCTCTCATATGAATATCATGAGATGAGGCTTCAAAAATTGAAACTCACGTGTTTTTGGAATTTTTTCAAATGTCGCCCATTTCTGAGATAATGAATTTATTCCATACATTTGCATCATACTTTATACATATAAAGAAATGCATTGAGAATTCGCATTCTCTATGTGATAAAAATATCAATTCTTTCCGGTTTATTTAACAGAAAACAACTACTTTCCTATGGCTATATGCCACAACGAATATTGAATTATATCTATTGAACACACACGATAATAGTTTGAAAACAAAATATTCTGAAGTAGAGAATTTGCATTCTCCTTCTTATATACAGGGTGTAACTAAATAAGTGTAAAACATTCGAGGGGGTGATTCCTCATCGAAAAAAAGATGGGATCTTTTATATAAAAAAACTTCATTGGAGCATCCCATGTTAAGATACAGCCCCTTGAAGGGGGTACATACAATTTGTTTTACAATTTTTCTCACAAGCACTTCAAAACTTACAGTATTGAAATTGACCTGACATTTTCTACACCCAAAAAGACACTCCGCCAGTAATTGATTTGGTTTACCCCATTGTTGAATCCCTTTTATCATTCAACGCAGGTAGTAACTACAAAATGATAATAAATCCAGTTCGCATTTATGAGGATGTATCTCTGTAGTTTATCGTAAAATATTTTTTTGCTGCCAACTGGTTTATTTTGGGCAAAAAATGCAGGAGACATTTTTTGTTTAGAATGAAACAGGCTATCGGAAATGAATTTTCAAATGATAAACAAATGAAAATACAAACAGTTACATTGGAAATAAATTTAGGGGTTGCGTTTTCCACCCCTTACAACCATGGGGTAAACCAAATAAATTACTGGTTAGGTGTCTTTTTGGTAGTAGAAAATGTCAGGTCGATTTCAATACTGTAACTTTTTTAGTGCTTGTGAAAAAAAATTTTGAATAAATTTTATGTACCCCCTTCAAGGGGCTGTATCTTAACATGAGATGCTCCAATGAAGTTTTTTTATATAAAAGATCCCATCTTTTTTTCGATGAGGAATCACCCCCTCAAATGTTTTACACTTATTTAGTTACACCCTGTATAGATATGCATATGCACATAATATCATTCTGAATATTCAACAGAAAACAACTAAATAAATACGAAGAGCTCAAAGTCATTTCCACACAATGTTCATAAAATAAACAACAATGGTAGATTTCGGGAGAAAAACAACTACTTTCCTGGCTGATGCAACGCAAATCATTGAATTACATCCTTCCGAAATCTATGCATCGACTCGTATAAACGAATACTGATACAAGTGATTCTTTCCTGAATGCCTATTGATTTCGATTTATCCAGGCCACGCTAGAAGCCCACAGACCGGTTTCGAGCTCTTTGACTCTCATCAGTGCAGGGTAGTCTCCAGCCAGCAGTCCTAAGACCGCCGACTCAGCGTAGCCTAGCCAAACAAAAATCAAGTCGGCATTATATTCTCCCAGAGGCGTCTTTCATCGACAATATGAAAGCAACGCCATCTGAGTAGAACAGGCGGAAAGAATCACTTCAAAACTGAAATTCCCATACGAGAGTGGCTGGTTGCCCGACTGGCGTAATTTCAACTACGAAATAGCCACAATGCTTAAAGTGGAATGAAATGTTGAAAAAATACAAAAAGCTCAAAGTCATTTCCACACAATGTTCATAAAATGAACAACAATGGTAGATTTCAGGAGAATAACAACTACTTTTCTGGCTAATGCCAAGTAGAAAATTGAATTACATCCTCCCGAAATCTATGCATCGACTCCTGGCTAAATCGAAATCAATAGGCATTCAGGAAAGCATGACTTGTATCAGTATTCGTTTATACGAGTACATGCATAGATTTCGGGAGGATATAATTCAATGTTCTACGTGGCATTAGCCGGGAAAGTAGTTGTTTTTTCCCGAAATCTATCTACCATTGTTGTTCATTTTATGAACAGTGTGTGGAAATGACTTTAAGCTTTTTGTATTTATTTAACATTTCATTCCACTTGGAGCATCGTGGATATTTCGTAGTTGAGGAAACAACTACTTCCCTGGCTATTTGCCATGTCGAACATTAAATTATATCTGTTGATCATCCAAAAAGAGAACATGAAAAATGTAAATCCTCTGAAATTGAGAATTATATTATGATATAAAAATATATAGGAGATGTATACTTGTATGAACTCTGATCTTGATGAGCTTGGAACTACCAAAAAAATCAATCGTATCAGTGATATGGGAATTATATCTCTCACAAACAGAGGTTATATGACTTTACTGGGATCAACTCATTTCGGATATCAAATTCTCATCAGTAACCTGAAGTCCAGTTATTCTTTCAGCCATTCTTCATCATGTACACAATTTTCATCTCCCTATGATATAACTAAAACTATAACGAACTGACATCTGAGAATTATGATTTGTTGACATACTTCTCTATCTTCAGGTAACTGATGAGGATTTGATATCCCAAAGTCTTCCAGAGACTTGTGCGAGCAAGGTATGACAGGGGTCTTACCTTTTAACGTGTGATCTCTAACACTTTCTTAGGCCATCAGAAAAATTTTTGCGGTGGTGGTGGGAATCGAACCCATCTACCTTCAATCCAACGTGGATAGAAAATGAAAGTTCTACCACGAGGAAATGCTGGCCTTTTTATCATTTGGAAAATGAATATAGGTTGGAAGTCATGAATCACGATGATGTGTCTATCATTTGAACTTGCGCATTTGAGCATTCGCAGGGTAATAGTACCCTATATAACGCCTTCTCATCCAGGGCTCCAATACCAGCCAGACAAATCAGAAACGAACGAGGGAGAAATGTTGACAACATAAATATGGACTTGGTAACAATTCTCGAATGGGGATCCAATAACTTGGTAGATTTCAATGCAAACAAAACACAAGCATGCCTTTTCTCTAGAAAAGCCGACCTCACTGCCCAACATAAGCTTGTCAGGAGTAACCATGAAGACATCCATTCCGATGCTTGGAATTACTATTAGCAATAACATTTCTTGGGAAAATCACGTGAGAGATCAATTGCTAAAAGTGCATCCAAAAACTTGGTTTCCTGTTTCGGGTCAGGATTTATTTCACTTACAGTCAGCTGCTTATGATCTATAAGGCACAGATCCGACCTGTTCTGGAATACTGTTCCCATATTTGCTCTTCTGAAATATCAACAACTGTTCCTTCCTTGGCAGTCCCCGCGATATTAACCCGTCGAGTTGAGGCTTCGCACCCCTTCGTGGTCACTTTGGAGACCTGCAGAACATCTCTTTCCAAAGACTCGGTCATCAAACGAACCACGAGGCTCTGGAACACATTGCCAACGGAGATGTTCCTCGAGGCATATAACCTCCAGAAATTTAAGAAGAACACCAATTTCTAACTCATTTCCCTCTGTTCTCACGGTGTTCCCTGAACATTACAGGATATCCCTTTTCATGGGAACCAGAACATAATAAACTTAAAATGGAACATTTCTGTGAATTCAAGAGAAATAAGATCATGTGAATTTTAATCTACAATGAAGAAGTTTCCTCCAGATGAATGGCGATCGATATAAAGTCCTAGTTGGTTTTTATTTTCAAATTAAAGCAATTTCTAATTATCGGGGCGGTAAACTGTGACGTACATTCTGAATCTAGTCTGAAAATAGCTGATGGTGAAGAATATAGCTAGCAAATAGCTTACAAATAGCTAACTAATGAACAAATAGAAAAAGAAGTAAAACTGGTAAACAAAAACTTATATTACCACAAATGCACTCGAAGCAGGAATGCAGAGGGTAGTTGGCTTCATTCTGACAGGTTATGGTTTTGTTATTTATGCATTGAAAGATCTCGAATAGAGCTCGATCCTAAACGAAGATATCACTGAATCAATGAATCACTATCGGTTACATTCAATGATACTATATCCTTTCCAATTTATTGCCATCGTTCAGAACAGAATAAAGCCGACACATATCCTTCCTCATGTTGAACCTGTCAATATTTTGAGTGGTGTTGATGGACTCGAAGTATTAGGCGCTGTTGCAAGATATAATCTGCATCTTTCCTAGAAAATAGATCCGTATTATTAAGGAACGAATTCATAAGCAAAAAAAATGACTGACAAGTTATGAATAACATATTGTGATATAACGATAGTAAAAAATTATAGATACTTTCGCAAAATATCATAATTTATCTTTATTAGTAATCAACTTCATTCAGCCAATGAGAGATTTATGGGAATCATTCATAATACTTGACAAAGTAGGATTGAGGAACCTATTATATCTTATTAATTGCTGTTATGATATAGTTATCATGCATTCAAAGAACAATTTCCGAAAATCTAGACATATCGATGATGTCGGTAACGTCGTACTGGCACAGGGAATCGTATTTCAACTCTGTGTGAATGTGGATTTTCAGAAAGTAAGTCATTGGAATGGTGGAGGAGTCAAGTTCCTCTTTTATTTATTGTTTTCTTCACAGTGAGATAAAAACTTCAATATAGGAAACTTCCCCATTTACAGTACATCGACGTGTCAATTTGAGAGAACTAAGTTATGGAACATCCAATATATGAAACTGACGGCATATGTATGTGAATATCACCAATGTGTTCACCGGGATATGTATATGGTTGTGATGCCCGTATCTCCTTTCAGGCCTGCAACTGCGTAACTCCGTCGACGAACAGCGGATGCCGGTAGATGGCGCCGGCGCAGTACCGGAGTCCGGCCATCGGGTGCCGAGACATCACCCGAACCAGCACCAGCACCACCCGAACCAGCACCACCACAACAGCCACGGCCACCCCTACGATCCCGAGTACGCGCACATGGAGGCGTGGCTGGACGAACATCCGGACTTTGTCAACGACTATTTCCTAAGGTAATAGTTTCATAGTGTATTCAATAATGGAAGTGAGATATAGTGCGCGTATTAGGCCATTATTACGTATCAAAAATTTCAGAAGAATCACTCGACCGCCTACTATGATTTCTCTACGTCATAAATATGTCCTGTATTTAAAAAAGGCGATACGTATAATATTGAACATTATAGGCCAATAGTGATTTTATGTAATTTTAGTAAGTTATTCGAAATGGTAATTCATGAATTTTTGTCAGCACATGTAAATTCACAAGTCATTGAGAATCAGCATGGTTTTATGAAAGGACGATCTACCGTCACCAACTTAGTATGCATTACTCAATTTTTATCTGGTTCATTGGACAGTGGGAGGCAGGTGGACGTAATATATACAGATTTTTCGAAAGCTTTTGATTGCCTTGACCATGGTTTGCTTCTGAGGAAGCTCGCCTGCTTTGGACTCACCAAAAAACTAATAAATTTTTTCATGTCTTATCTCTCAAACAGGAAACTGCATGTTCAGTACCATGGATTCAAGTCTATTGAGATATCAGCTTCATCTGGTGTTCCACAGGGATCAATTCTTGGTCCTCTGCTATTCACAATATTCATAAATGACATATGCAGAACCCTCAAGTCAAATGTGTTATTATATGCAGACGATTGTAAGATTTATGCGACAGTCAATAGCATTCAGGATTGTAAGTTACTCCAAGATGACCTTCAAAGGCTTCATACCTGGTGTAATTCTAACTTATTGCCACTCAACATAAAAAAGTGTAAATATATGTCTTTTACGCGGAGGAAGCATATCATTGAGTATACCTATAGTATCGACAATGAGTTGCTAGATAGATGTTATCAGTTCAAGGACTTGGGTGTGGTCTTTGATGTTAAACTAACATTCGTTGATCATATAACTGGAATGGTCGCAAAAGCTTACAAAACACTGGGATTTATTTTAAGAAACTCAAAGTTCATGCAGCAAACTGAGTCACTGAAGTTAATTTTCAATGCTTTTGTGAGGTCAAAACTGGAGTATGCCTCGGTGGTCTGGAGTCCTGGATATGATGTTCATTCTAATAATATTGAAAACATTCAGCGGAAATTCATGAAACACCTCTGGTTTAGAGTAGATGGGGTATATCCAGATAGAGGATTGCCCCAATTGACATTAACAGGTAGATTTGAAACTGCACTATTGGCTACTCGCCGTGCTTATAGTGGAGTCTTATTTCTATATAAATTGCTCAATAACAAACTTGATTGTCCCCATTTACTGTCTCTCATTGATATACATGTTCCTCGATTGCCAGTAAGAGATAAATATTTCTTCTACTTGCGCACACCTCAATCTAATCTACTGCAGTTTTCACCTATTTATAGAATATGTTCAGATTATATGTCTTCTCAAGATTCATTTGATATTCTCTGTTCTAATATTGCTAGTTTGAAACGAGCATTGTTGTAGTATTATTTGGTAGTGTGCATATCTGCATGTGAGCTTTTTTTTTCTCTTCCTAGTTTTTTTTTCAGCTCATATGCAGATATGCCCATCTCCATTCACCTTAGTATGCAACTTATGTATAGTTAGTATTAATCTAGTTTGTATCTAAATTGTAATTTGTAATTAATTGCTTATCTTTCCCATCCTGTAATTGGCTCCGGCTGTTGGATGGTGCATGAATAAAATAAAATAAAAATAAAATAAAATAACGAGCGAGATGTTGATTCTATATTTTCCCGGTAGACGGTGATGTGGCTATTGCTGCTGTGACGAGTGGAAATAAAATGGAAAATGGCATTTTAGGTACGCGGAACATATGTAACAGTGGGATTATTCAACTCTGAATTCGAAAAAACTGCGACAATTTCAAAACTGACAGATGTCATAATTGTGCAATGTCGCCATCTATTAAAGTGAAATTTCTGAAACAAAAGCGCATCATTAATTACAACATTTCTTACTTCCATCATTGTTTATTCATAGTTCATTCATAGTATATTCATAACTATTGAAGAACATTACATGATGGTATACAATATTATTGTTATTATTACACACTGAGGAATATTGTGCTATTAGAGTTTATTTCTTGCTACCATTACAAGAAATCATATTACCGTTATACATTTTCGAATAGAAGCAGCACTTTGAAACACTATGAAAGCAATAACGCCTTTGCTGAAAGTGAATTTACTGCCACAGGAAGGTATACTGCTGTCGTTATCAGGCAGCCCCTCTGGGACAGCTAGATTTTTTTTATATAAATTGTCTATCAGAACTACTACTAGTGAGTTATATGCTTGTGGCTGCGAGGTTCATCGCATAGAACTGCACTCACTACCAATTAGGCAATCCAACGACCTGTCAAATAATTTCAAAATGGCGTCTGGTTGGCAAATAAACCAAAGACAAGTTTGTTTACTTGAGAACTTTGTGACTTTTGGAAGCCTGTTACAGTATTATTTTATCGAGTTTCGGCTAGATTTATTGTGAATAATGGTAACTCAGTATGATTTCCAAGAAAAAATTGCCAGTAACGTGAATTGTGGTGGATTGTGGAAGCAGTGCAGATCGGGACCATTTGCTGTTTTGTCATATTCCTACTGTAATAATGTGAAAAACTCTGAGCATTACCCACAGATGGAGGATCTATCAAGAAAAATAAGGGAAATGTGGATAGCAGCCATCAAGAGAAAGAATCAGCAACAGAATCAATCATAATAAACCAGAGGATATGTGGCAGACACTATTTTCATAACAGGTACCTAAGAAAAAGGATTTTAATATTATTTATATGTACCTACCTACTCTAGAACTGATGAGTTTAGTGTTTTTTCCTATGGAAAACTTATCTTTTTTTCATTTCGATAAAATAAACCAATACTCATGACTTTTGATGGTCCTACATAGTTTGATGGAAACATCATGTTTCTAATACATAGATAAATCATCTACCTTGTAGGAGAACGTAGTGCCTGAAAGAAGAGGATATCCAGCTTGGGTCCCATTGCAATATAATATGGGTCATCAATCTCTTGTCCATTCGAAATGCAAGACTGATGTGGATCAAAAACTGAGAGCAGACAAAAGATTCAAATCATGAATCAAGCATCAGAACCGAGAGACCTAGTATATGTCTTCAAGAAAACACCAAATTACCTAATACTACTACTACATCACTTTTCATTTATTTTAGTGTAATGAAGAAAGTGTCCTGGGAGATAAAGAAATAGAAGAGAAAATTGGTGAAAACAAGGTGAAACTTTACAAGATCATAAGTACTTTTACAAATTACAGTTTGTTGTGATTTATTTTTATCAATTATAAATGTAAGACAAATAAAGTAAGTATATCAAAATAATTGTAATATTCATTAAATGAAAAATACATTGTATTATTCCACTATATTACAAAAGATCTACATGAGTCATGAAAAAATCTTCATAGAACATTATAGTTATTCAGTGATCTGAAACATCTGATCTGAAACAATAATAAACAATATGATTGAATGATATATTTATTATGAATAGGTACATATTTTTTTATAGAACTTGTTGAATCAGAATTCACAAAACCATGCTGATTCTGGTGTACCTAAACTATCTACACATTTAAAATAGAACCATACAATTTCCCTTCATCACTGTCACAACTAGTCATAGGGGTTCCATCATCAGCACTGAACACTTACACCAATTGCTCACTTCTGGTGAAATTAATATCCACCCAAAAGTCCAGGAATTATAACTTCAGCATGAAACTTCAAATCAATTTGTGAATGTTGTTCCCAAAAAAACACATTTCTCGGACATTGAAGATATAGTAGGGATTTTGTATTAAACCAGTCAGAGCAACTGTACCTATGTCCATTACTGCTATTGGTATGATGGGCACAATCATGGTGAGAGTGGTGGCATGGGTCACAAAGCACATACATCAGTACATGAAACTGTTCCTTATTTACTTGCCCAAGCCCTCAAGTTACTTCTTACTTATTAGCACAGAATCTGATTGTGAATGTTTTACCTATAAAAAAATTGCATAAGATATACATGAATATGAGGTAGGAAATATATTTAAAAATATATGAATAACATAATTTTACCATTCAAAATGTTCCTATCATGAAAGTTATTTAGGTATAAAAGTAAAAAGTTACCTTTCCAACTATGACATGAAAATCATTCATCTTCCTGTCTACTTCCTGGACAAAAGTTGCTGAAAAATACTTGTGAACAACAAGGGTTTTGAATGCTTTCATTAGGTAGTCTAATCAGTCAGCAGTTTCAGATGTGAAGGGCTTCAAATCCTTGATCAACATCAGCTTCATCAGGTATCTACAAACAAATTATGGTTTTATGATAGTTTCAGGAATGAAAATTTACTGGTTAGTTGAGAAAAATAGCCGAAAAAACAATGAATATTCATGTTTACCTCTGACCAACCTCTGGGTTTTCCTGCAATAACTTCTGGAAATATGAACTCAGCATGTTGAAGCACTGTTCAATTCAGTTCCGAGACTCCCTCAAACACCTGACACATAAAACTACCAGAATAATAGGGTGATTTGGGCAAAATACAATTTAATTACAAGTGATGTATAATCTTTGTTTGCCAACCAGACGCCATCTTGTCAGAAAAATGTCACGTGGTTTGGATTGCCTAATAATACAACTGTCAGTCTGCCACAAAAATAATATATATTGAACCTACTTGGGGTTATTTAGCGCATACTATTCTCCTGATTTGTCCCCCTCTATATAAGCATGTGTCAGACATCTTGCTTGATCAATCATTCACAGTTGGGCTCTTGATGCAAACCCAGGTTCTCTGCTTGCTAGTTTTTTCCCAAACAGGTCTCTCCATGTAGTGGTTAACAGAGTTTCATCTGACTCTCTTGTCATAAATGCTGGTGTTCCGCAAGGATCAATTTTAGCACCAACTTCATGTCCAGTACACAGCTTCGCGGATGATAGTACCCTCCATACCGCCTTCTCTTCCAGGGCTC